CCGACTCAATACATTCAGATTTTAGACTTTACCAAACCATGACATAATTCAATAGAGATAATTTGAGATAAGTCCACTAAGAATAAAAACTACTAAGAGTATGATGGTTTTAAAAATAATAATTATTGCCCAACATAACTATTATAATTCCATTTACAGGACAAAGAATTCAATCACAATAATCCATGGAATTCCCAGCAGTGACTATATTGATAGCAAGGGCTGATGAAAAATGTTTTTATAAAGAGATAAATGCTTTTGCATAAAAAATTAAACAATCAGCATACCTCTGAAGCAGTTTCATCATTTTCAGCAGAACCCAAGGGATCTTCATCAGGGTCATCCTTTTTTGACTTTTCCTATAAATAACATTCAATATCAAGAATAATACAGACAGATGGAGTAAGTGAAAGTTCAGTCTAAAATATTCTTTTCAGCACCCTTATATTTTGCAGAAAATGATGCTGCATTTACTCAAGTTGTATTTTAAAATCTGTAATAAATCCTACTCAACAACAGCTAAAAAAATCTTTCTTAAATACCCTCCACAAGCAACACTGCTTGTATGCCTGCATTATTTTTTTTTATCATGTTCTATGCGTTTACTGTTGTTTATTATTTGTATCTTGTGACTGAATGCGACTCTTAAGCACATAACTATAGCTAAAGCATACATACATGCTTCTCTGTTTGAAGTTAACAACTGGTTTAAGACAAACTTGAGATTAAAAAACGCTTTTTAATAACTTCTGGTTAGCAGCCAAGTTGCAGTTAACTTGCGATTGAAAAACTGGGCCTAGATAATTAAATGGCAGCAATACCCCTCTAAGGGCCGTATCGTCAGTCGTTCCTAAGATTGTAGGACGCCTTTATCGCCTCCTTGATTTTCATAGTATTTTCTCTCCTTCAGAAAGGCTGGGGTATTTCTAGGTTTCTACTTAACTTTCGTTCTAAATATTTTTTATCCATTTTGATGTGTTCCTCACATACACCTGTGTGTATTTTATATTAATTTTAATGAATGTCCCATGTTTCACCAGGCTATAAATGTTTCCCTCAACTTAACTGTTAATAATATTTAGCAACAATCTCACATACTATTCTCCTGATGAAGATGGCAAAGTTCATTGAAAGCTAGAAACTAATAAAGTATAAAGAGTCCATTGCTTGAATTTTGTCGAAGTACAGAACTAAAGGCAGAATATATATATAAATAAACAGATTCATTTCTCCTTATGTGGACTTTGTATGCTGTTGCTGAATGATTATGTTGTTTACATCAAAAAGTATTTCTTTATAAATTAGCTTTCCGACTCTGAGATGGACCTTCAAAATAAATTGCATATTGTTATTGCCACTTTTTCTCCTCTACAAGATGGTGTAGTCGAATTTTTTGAGGTTTCTTCTTTTGAATTGCGTCACCAACTTTGTTTCTTCATATGGACACTATATTGGTAGAAATTTGTGGATTTAAATGGATTTTTCAGTCCTAAATTCTGAAATGCACTTGTTCTTGTTGGCCATGAACTTGTTGTAATGAAAATTATAAGGAAATAAAAAGGTATGAACACAAAATTAAAATGTTATTCATGGTGATAATAATCATAAATAAGCAGATAATAATAGCAAATGTTCAAAATGTCTGTTATTTTTGAGGCAAAGTCTGACTCCTCTCCATACATTTTTCACTGCTCAGTTTATTTCCCTTCTTCTCAGTCTTCTAAACCCTGTTACTATGTTCAATTTGAGGTCAAAACTGTACCTTTTTATTCCTTATAATTTTTGTTCGAACAACAAAGTCATGGCTGGAAGTACTTTGTATTTTGAAACTTTCTAAGTGGCATTTTTTAGTTACCTAAGGCCCGTATCGTCAGTCGTCCCTACAATTGTAGGGCGCCTTTATGGCCTCCTTGATTGTCATAGTTTTCTACTTCTCTGTGTCAGCGTTCTATTTTGAGGTTATGTCACAAACATCTATTTGCATCAAATTGTGCTTGCTTTTGAGTTATATCATGTTTTATCAGCCTGAAATGTCCTACAATTTAAAAAGAAACTATATCTTCACAATAGGAGAGCGCTGATGCTGACACAGGACAAGTGTAATCTAGAAATTTTTGAAGGAGAGAAAGGAGTATGACAATCAAGGAGGCTATAAACGCGCCCTACAATTGTAGGGACGACTGACGATACGGGCCTAAATCTCTCTTTCTCTTGCCATTTCTGATACCCCAACAGTGAGGGTCAAATTTGGAATTACTGATATAGCCAAGATACACAGCTCATCTTGATAACTGGCCAATAGCTGCCATAGTTATAGCCATCTAGGTGCTCTATTTGTTGAATGCACTGGGTGATAATCTGGCAAGTTAGAACTAGATGGGCTAGTTAGGTTGGTAGTCATGTCTAAGGTTAAACCGAAGTCAATGGTTGCAGGGTATATATTTGAGGAGAAAAAATAATTGTTTTATCCTATTTCACGAGTATCTGTCACACTTTGACATCTATTGAGGTGAATAGCTGATCAGCAAGTGACATTTTTGAGTTAGTCTGTAATGTTGACAATAATGAATCAGGTATAAATCTAGTAAAACTTGTTTGTGGAGTTTTTTTTCTGAATAAAAGAGCTATTAGCAAGTACAAAATGAATCTGTAGGGTACAAAAAAAAAACAAAATACGGTTCTATCTACCTGGCGATGACGGATCCGTTAGAATTATGTGTCCTATGCCGATCTTGGGAATTTTGAGATATTACTAGATAATCAGCTGCCATTCTACCCTGATGGATACTTGTGAAATAGAGTATATAAAAGTTTCGATTTTTTCATAACCTATAAATACCCTGTTCAATAGATTCAATTTACTATAACTTTTGATGTTTTGACCTCTAACCACCGTAGGGCTGCCTAGTAAGAGCAAAATTGGACATTGCTACCCTTGTTTGAACACAGTGTGGTTATTACTAATTCCCAAACAAGAAAAATCCAGTAAAAAAACTCATGACATCACTACAAGCACCGCTTACAACAAACTTTTCAGCGAATTATTAATATTATACTTTATAATTTTTAGTGCTTTCAGCACGGCCCACAGTCAGACTGCGATCATGATTTACTCACTTGTAGCAGTAAATATTTAGCATATAATTTGATTACTGTATATATTAGACAGTACTAATAAATTTGGGCCTACCTCATCCGAATTATCAGAGTCAGCAGACTCGTTAATCGAAGATGCATCATCCTTCTTTGATTTCCTAGGACTTGCCGACCTTTTCTTCTTCGGCGTTTCCTCAATCTCAGAATCTGCCCCATTCTCCTCTACACCGTTCGATCCATTTTCGTCTTGTGCCTTAGACTTGCGACCACTCTTCCTCTTCATTTTTCGGGAAAATACAAAACTGCTGAATGCAAATCGTCAAAATAGAAAATGCCTCTCTGAAGTTCTTGACGCCTGTCACGCACACAAGACAAGACTGTTGCCAGTTCCCAGTTGGCGCTGCTGCAGGCGGCACGCCGCTGCTGACGCTGTTGTTTCGTTTACGTGACACGTGACGTTTACCTCCAGAAGTCACAGAACGTTAAGTTCGCCAGACTCTGAACAGTAGCATCCCACAAACCGGCGCGAAATAATCGCGGCGAAGTATTCGCAACGAAATTCAGATCGAAATTCGCAATCTGTTTCGCCTGTTTATTTTTGCCTTTTGCAATGAGCTCGTCTTCAGAAGAAGAGGAGGCACTTCTATTTCTTGCTTTAGAAGAGGAACAAAATGCACGGTAAGTTATGTTTATTTAACGCCATTTGATAGTTGGGTATGTATTAAGTTTAACGAAGTACATAAAACAAATATTTTCAATTTTGTTTAGGAAACGAAGGAAGTGGGTACATGATATTAACTTGGAACGAAATAAATTTGGGGAATACCATACCTTGATGCCACAACTTCGGCTGGATGAACAGCGCTTTTACGTATATTTTAGAATGACTCCAGAGTGTTTCGATTGAACTTGGTGAAAGATGATGAAATACGAAAATCTGACACAAATTATCGTGAAGCTATTTCGCCGGAAGAACGACTTGCTATTACACTCAGGTGAAAAAATTATATGTATTAGAATTAGTAGGCTTATCGAATATGAAAACTTCAGGGATCGTGAAATAAATATTTTATTGTAATAATTGGACTACATGTTGCCACTAGGATTAAATGTTGCTAAATAATTCGAGGCAGAATTTGCCTCCTCTGTTGGGTATATTATTGGAGTAAACCCAGTGCCGCTTGGGAAGGACGACATACTACTATCATACATACTTGCAGAATTCTGGGTAGACGCTGAAGACATTTCTTCAATATGTTCAAATTTTTCGTGCGCTATTAATTCGGCTATTTTTAGTTTTATTCGGGCTTGACGCTTTAAGGGAAGTGTTTTCACAGTCTGTGCATGTGCCAAGAAAAGTGAATCAATGGCCTCGTTCTCTTTTTTAGGTTTTTTACCTTCAAAATAATTAATGAGCTGTTCTACAGACGAAGATGGTGGTTCATAGCCTTTTCTGCTCGTTTTATATTTTGGTGTAGTTGCAGTCTGCGGAAAGGTGTGCCCTGGAGTAGTCACTGCTGTAGTGTTCAATGAAGAAGGTGGTGCTGTCTGTGTTGCCGAGGCGTTCTGTGCATCTTCTTCTTCATGGCCGCGGTCTTCCAAATTTTCGGTTTCTACATTTCCAGCCATTTCCTGATATATATTTGAGCTAAAATCGGCAGTCTCATAATGTATGACGTCAATATCTTTCACATTAGATGACGTTTTGGCAAATGCCAAAAAAGGACGGAAAAATTCCATGTAGTCAGCCCACTGCCATTTTTTTATGTTGCCCACTGCTTGGCCGGTCTTTGGTTTGGTAGATTTTATATATTTTGCAAATGTGTCTCTGATATTCTTCCACCTTTTTTTTACTTCATCACCTAAAAACGATTTTTTTTATAGATTCCTTGCCACTGGTGACACCTTCTATACCATTGGGCATAGCTTTCGAGTTGGCTTTACAACAGTGAGTGCAATCGTAACCGAAGTCTGTGAAGCGATATGCAGACATATGGAGCATATATATTTACCAGAACCAACAGAGAATATATGGAAAAAATGTGCAAATGTGCAAATGATCCTCGGCGGGAAGCAAGGCTAGCATTTTCTAATCGTGACAAATTCGTAAATTATTTTAATTCTGATATGCCTATGCCCAATATATAGAATGTTCGTTTTCACATTTGTGTAGACTGTAAATTATTTAACAAGTTAATAAAAAATATTAGGTACATACCATTTGTATTTAATTCTTTTCCTATTTCCATCCAAATCTTGTCTTTCTTTCTCACATTCCTGTATTCATCGTTCGACAAATCATACAAACAAGGATACTTTTTCACTATTTCTATCAATAATTCCGTTTTTACCATTGCGAATTTTTGAAGAACGGCGTCAAAAACGCGGTCAAAGGCGAACTGAAATACGCCGCGATAAAAACGCTGGAACAATCGCATTCGCTTCGCACAAGTCTGAGCCTGTCCGTAAACCGCCGCGTTTTAATCTGATCGCGAATTCATCGCCGCAAAATTTTCGCAGCCAAAGCGAATATTTTGCTCCGGTTTGTGGGATGCTTAAACGTTGCACCATCGCATATTAACATGGCGGTGACGCCTGTAAGAGAATTTTCTGTAAATACAGGGTGATTCACAAGTCGTGACCAAAAATGAAACATCATCCACAAGACCCCATTTTAAGGGGGTTCTATGTAACGTTTTTTCATCGATTAAGTTCAAAAATAAAATTTTTTTAATATCTTCAAAAACGTCAATTTGATATGTGGATTTACCTAAGTATTGTCCACATTCAAAAGTCTTTACTTAAAATTCACGTGCACCAGTGGCGGAGAACAGTTTCATTTTTGGGCACGACTTGTGACTCACCCTGTATGTATAACAATCACAGCAGTACAAAAAGAAAAAAAAAACGAAAAAGATAAGCCAATTAAGTTTTTAGAGCCGAAATTAAAGAACGGAAACGACGATATGCGTAAAGCAAGATACAAATACGGTGATTCAAATGCATTAGAATCTAGAATGCAGCAATTGCATGCGGTTTTTTAAAAATTGTGATCGAAGATGAACAACAACAGAGGTTTTAGCTCTTATTACGGCTTACTACAAAAATAATGTTTTTACTTCCCACGTCAATTGACGAGGAAGTATTGTAACCGCGAATAAAATCATGTATACTAAGTGACATATAAATCCGAACACCCAGTTTAAATGGTTTTATTTTAATAAAATTTTGTATAAGTACTTAATGAAGCATAATAAGTAAATGATAAAAATTTTAAAATGATTGCACTCCTTTAAAGCCCTTTGACCTTTAATAATGTGTGGATGCACCCTGATGTGCTACGCATTCTCCAACGCGCCTAGGCATGCTTCTGATCAGGTGGTCAATGTCCTCCTGTGGTATCTCATTCCAGGAAACCACCAACTCCTCTCGAAGTGCTTCTAGAGTCTGAGAAGGACGTTGCAAATTGAGCAATCTCCTACCCATCATATCCCACACGTGCTCAATTGGGGATAAGTCGGGAGATCTTGGTGGCCATGGTAACAATGTGACATCATTATGTTGAAAGAAGTCTATTGTGACTCTTGTCGGGCATTATCTTGTTGGAAAGTTGGATCTGCCAGGGTGTCAAGATAGGGTAAAAGATGGGGTTCTAGAACTTCGTGGATATAACGCTGCGCGTTCATGTTAACTCTGATGAAGATTAAAGGTGACCTGGAACCATAAGCTATAGCACCCCAAACCATAACTCCAACAGTGTGATGAACATGTCTTTCAACAAAAAACTGTGGATTCCTCCTTTCACCACGTCGCCTTCTAACCCTGGCACGACCATCGTGCATGCCTAAACAAAATCGAGACTCGTCACTAAAGACAATACTGTTCCATTCCTGATCGCAGAGTGACCGTTGTCTGCACCACTCAAGGCGATTACGTCGGTGTTCTCGAGTTAAAGGGAGGACCCAGTGTGGCCGGTATGAAAACAAGCCAAAACTTCTCACTCGTCGGTAAACACTTCGCATGCCAATAGGTCTTCCGTGTTCTGCAAACCATTCATTTGCAATGGACCTGGTAGTGGAGAAACGGTCCCTTAAGGCCAATAATTTTAGGCGGCGATCTTCACGGTCTGTTGTTCTACGGCGGCGTCCAGTGCCCCTTGCTCTTTGCGTACGGCCTTTTCAAAGCCATGCCTGACAACACCTAACCATAGTGTCTACACTTCTTGGCACTCTAACTGCAATTGCCCGAAAAGAAAGTCCAGCTTCCCGAAGTCCCACTATACGGCCCCTATCAAACTCACTAAGTTGACGAAATCGTACAGGTCTCCGTACTCTAGGCATCGTAACCGATCGTAAAGGATGTCAAGAACCAAAATCCGCCAACGTTGATTCTTTACTGCGGCTGCAATATTCATTTTTAGAGCGTTAGTGAATTAAAAAAAAGCAGTATAAAAACCGGAATGTCCAACTGATAAGGCTGAAAATTTTTTCACTTGTTATTTACAGTAAGATAAATACATTCACCAACTTTTATTAAAATAAAACCATTTAAACTGGATGTTCGGATTTATATGTCACTTAGTATAGACAATGGACACCTCAACAATGGTGTGCAATACAATGGAGTGATGAGGCCCGATTCGAAGTTTGTGTTGGTGACAGTCGCAGTAGAGTTATCCGCAAAAAATGAAGCATTCCATGTTGACTGTCTGAAGAGAAAAGTGCAGCATCCATTATGGTCTGGGTCAGTATGTCATCAAAAGGAGTAGGAAATATTTGGAAAACTTCATTTTATTGATGGAAATGTGGATACAAACAAATATTTGGCAATTTTAGAAGAATCGCTTTTACCAGTGATGGAAGAATGTTTGACATCCGGCCAAGTTTTTGTGTTTCAGCAAGGTGGTGCAGCGTGCCATACCTCAAAAGGCTATAAAATGGATGGAAGAAAATAATGTACCAATTTTGAAATAGGTTTCTAGCAGTCCAGATCTGTCACCTATTGAAACTTTGTGGCACGAGATGAAAACGGTTCTACGACAACATCCTGCTCGTACGATCACCGAACTGAGACAAAAGCTATATGGGATTGTTTTACACCAAATTTTTGCCAAAACTTAGTTAACACTATGCCCCAAAGCATTTCAGCCGTAATAAAAAATAAAGGTGATGTTACCCAATGGTAATCTTTCAATTGTTGCTTTGTTAACTTCGCGCATTTATTCGCACATTGTTTATTTGTTCAGATGGTCTATTAGTTATAAGTCTAAGTGTTTTCAAATATGTATTTTTTACGACTAGAGTGTATCTAAAATGTTTTTGAGAAGATAAATTCTTGTACAATCAAATAGTTTCGTCATGTTTAGTTTATTTTGGTACAAATCTTGAAGTGGGCCAACTGAAGTGGGAAGGGGCTCGTACTATTATAATTCAAACACATAACCCTTTCAGGTGATTTCAAAATCAAATTTGTGTTAGCACGACTGCAAAAGAAAGTAACATTACATCTTGAAACGGATATTGGCGTTAAAAACTGTAGTTGTGATAACTTTGAGAAAGGATTAAAAAACTTTGTTTCATAAGACGTAACAATTTTAACTGCCGGGAAATAACCATATGGTGCAAGTTTAAGGATTTACATTTCACTGGTTAAAATTATATGTTTAAATAACTAATTTTAAGGGAATTACCTCAAATTACTTACATTATGGAAGCATAAAATATGCATTATAAGAAGAATACGTCATAACGGACAAGAATACTCTGTTGTATTGTGAGAATGTATGAAATAGAGCGAATGAATGAAACCTATGATTTTTAAACGCCAACGTACGAGGTGGTCGGTTTAATATTTTGCTCTGATCTATGCTTACGATATTATAACAACATAGCTATATTATTACATTGTTCAACACAAAAATCCTCCCTATAAAAATATGGGATGTTTTGTAACATTTGGACTTATACTAATGTTCAACTGACCCAAATGTTTATATTAGGGGCGTCCCATTATTATCTACAGGTGGTTGGATCTATGTTTGAAATAGCCTTTTAGTCCTTAATTTATAATCGTTTAGTAAACAACTATTAATATTTTCGCTTAGATCTGCGTGCCCGTTTAAAACAATATCAAAAATCACGACCCGAATTTGCGTTAATAACTTGTGTTATAACGGGTGATTTTTTAAGAGGTATATGATTTGATTTTCAAAAAAAAACACCAAACATTTGAAAAAACGATTAAATCTTTATTTGAGTCGATAGAACGATCGATATAATTTAATGTTTGAAGATTATTTCATGTAAATGTTGGCCGCGGCTCCGCTTTAGATGGCCCATGCGCAAGGTCCAATTTTGGCACACTCTCTCCAACATATCGGCCGGTATCTCACGAATAAATGCTTCAATATTGGCTTCCAGTGCGTCAATCGTTGCTGGTTTATCCCTGTAGACATTAGCCTTAACATGGCCCCACAAGAAATAGTCCAACGGCGTTAAATCACACGATCTAGGCGGCCAATTGACGGGCCACAAACGTGAGATAAACTGTTCACCGAACTTGCCTCTCAATAGGGCCATTGTTTCGTGTGCGGTGTGGCATGTGGCACCGTCTTGTTGAAACTACATGTCAGCGAAGTCCAGCTCTTCCATTTTGGGCAAAAAAAGTTTGTTATCTTCGCACGGTAGCGCTCGCCATTCACAGTTATGTTCCGGCCATTGTCGTCTTTGAAGAAGTACGGCCCGATGATGCGACCGGCTCATAAACCACACCAAACAGTGATATTTTCGGGATGCATTCACACCAGATGCGGCAATTTTGCTTGTTAACGTACCCATTCAACCAGAAATGAGCTTCGTCGCTGAACACAATTTTTCGATAAAAATGTGGATCTTCCTCCAACTTTGCCAGCGCCCATTCACCAAATTGGAAACGTTGTGGGAGGTCGTGTGGCTTCAATTCTTGCACCAGCTGT